TCCATTTCGCTATGAATTGTATATCTATCTCCCAAAAGGATACTAAACACAAATGTTTGGCGTTTCATATCATTGCAAACTAAGAATTAAAAAGCACATAATGAGACTGCTTGTCAATAAACCTTTAAAATCAGAACAGCTCTTTTTTAGAGCTGTAATCTAGGTTTCCATTTATTAGTACTTAAAATGAATGTTGTACTAAAAATTACTGGTTGTATCTAATGAGTGTGCATGTGTATATACACACACACCCACACATACATATGCCAAAAGACAAACAACAGGCCAAAAGAATACTTTGGTAGAGCTACTGAAACTCAAAGATTAGACAGGGGTCTGTGCTCCAGAAGGAAATGGATCATTTTCTGCTTCCTCACTCATATCAGACCTGAGAGATTAATCAGTTTTCTCTCGATATTCAGTGGAAACCATGGGTCCTGTTGTTGAAATACACTGCATGTAGAGATTGTGGTTCAGAAAACGCAAACAAATATAAGCTAGGAGATTTGATATTTCATAATTTACATACAATGTTCTCCATTCTAAGAGACAGAATAATAAAGCAACCATCCAATACACTCTTGTACTATTCGACTTAACCTCTAGCAAACCTTGTTTGACTCATCAGTACCTAAGTTATTCAACTAATTTAGCTAATTCATTAAGTGAGCTGGTGGTGAAATTTAACAAATACATGGTATGGTTGGGGTGCCCCTGAGGAGAGGTTGTATTTCTTTTTGGTGAAAAGAAGAAATTCATATTAGTTTTTATTGTGTTAATAATTAATTGCATATTCTGATGTTAAAATATGTTTTTTACATGAACAATTGTTCACTTACTGCCCATATAAGTAGCTTTAAATATTTTCTTTGACTGCCAAAGACTTTTGCACGGTACTGTACATTACATGTGTACTGAGTGTCCATATACCAGAGGTGGCAATTTCAGGTCCAGAAAGTAAAAATCCAGACCAAGATTTTGTTTCAACCAACCAGTTGAGTACTCTGTGACTTTTTATGCTCAACTGGTTGGTAGAAAGTAAATCATGGTCTGGATTTTTACTTTCTGGACCTGAAATTGCCACCTTTGCCATATACACAGACAAAACGATTTATGCTATACTGACTTTCAAAATACAAGCTAATTTACTCGAGTTTCTATGTACTGTAAGGAAAGAAAAACTGGGGTTGTAATTTCATTGAAAATGTTTTTCAGAAATTAATCACATTTCATGACCAGTTAAAATGCGAAATATGCTGCGACAAAGTCAATCATAAAGGAGACATGAGCTCAGCTCTGGGAAATTCTCTGCCTTGCGCCTGTAGCTTTTGGGACAGGCTGTGGCCCCGCATAGGACAAGTGGGTATAGTGGGTGTAGAATATACTTCTATGCCCACTTGTCCACAAGGACAAGTGGGTATAGAAGACTGAATAAGGCCCTCATTAACCATTGAACACTTTGCCTGAATTGTTGGATGTTTCAGACAAGAATGTGGTCTCAAGGTGGTAGAAGAGGGGCCAAAACACGGTGCATCCTACTGGATTTTGTACTAGCTTTACCATATCAGGTATCTTTGGTGAAGACTTTGGCCAATAGAAAGCAAGCCTATTCTTTCATGTAGGTTAGCTTGCTGGATTTGTCTCATTGCCCTGCAGTAATTATTCTCAAATCAAATCAATTCTCCATCAATGTCATTACTGAACAAGGAATTATGGGAGATTGATGATAGTAGTACTCAGTCATTCCAAATTGGCTGAAAACGTTTTTTTTTTCTTTTTTCAAGAGTAGTTCAGGCCACTAGACTGTCAGTTGGTGGATAGTTGTGGGATTAGAAGTTTGACTACGCTCTAAGAACCCGCCTGATGAGTACCTGAAAACTTCACCATTAGCCCATGAGGTAGAAATTCTCAACGCCTTTGCATACTTTGATGAGAAGGGCACTGGCATAATGGGGGTGAAATGCTGCCAAACACACTTTCAAACAAACCCTATGCAGTGTACCCAATTCCAGCTGATGAATATTTTATTATTCTGTGACAGTTTTTTGGATGGAATATTTGAAGAGATCATCAGCTGATTAAAGTTTTACTATTGTAGCAGAATCAAAGCCTTATAACAAAAAAAAAATGACTGGAGGAGACTGAATTGAAGCACAGTCAGAGTAAATAAATGGATAGAGAGGAAGCATGTGAAGCAGCTCTACTGACTTACAGGGTGAACCAAAGAACATCAGCATATTTGGTTCACAAGAAGGTCTTACATGACACCTGCGGGAGCTGCTCATCACCATGGTGATGCCTTCACCAACAAGGAGGTGGACGAGCTGTTCCATGAAGTGCCCATCAACTACACAGATTTCAAGCATTGCACCAAGGACAGAGATAGCATTTCAGGACTGCTTTCTGCTTCACAGCTAGTGCCGACTTCCTTTCCACGCGACGGCCATCATAGACAAAGCAGATGTTCAACACTGGACACTGCGGATGTTCTCAAAGTCATCAGCCCATTGACCCACCTGAGATTTGAACCAATTACAAGGCTGCATCACTGCCACACATTTATTCTATCCACAGTCATACTATTGTATCCTGTATATAATTTGATTTCCTTTAAGATTAAGATATTTTTAAATGACACAGGATGTTGCAAAATTGCAAGGACCCCCCCACCCCACCCCACCCCCAGTGACGCAAGCTCCTTTTTAAAGGTTATAAAGCCAAAATCAGAAACAAAAAAAAAAGAATTGTGACAAAGCCTCTGACCCATTAAATGTTAGATGCACCATTTACCTTTCTTAAATATTCATAAGGTGTACCGTATGAACTTTTATAGCCTTATCATAAAAAAGAAATTACACACTGGACACTCTGAGCGAGACAGATGTGCAAGCCCAGACACCTTGTGGGCTCTCCACGTTTCTGTGGGCCCCAGTGTGGACGCACTGCCTGTAATTATGCCACACTGCCTGCAATTACACCACACTGCCTTCTATTACGCCAGTGCCCTGACAGCTGTTTACACCAATAGACTGAATGCTAATTGCCGGTCACCAGTTCCTGTCCTGTTGCTGTACTCCCCAACTCACCACTGCCTGAGACATATGCTTTAAGGACCAAAGGAAACCACAGCTTCAAAGAGATGTTAAGCCTCATTCTACCTTCATCCCATAAACTGTAGTTTATAAATGTGTACTTGAAAAAAACAAATAGAATCCATCCAAACTTTTTAACCTTGATCAATTGTTGCTGTAGTTTGTATGCTTTGAAAAAATTACAGCCAATCCAGGCACTTCTCTAACAAACTACCTTAAAACACAGCAATGGGCAGCAGTGTGACAGTGGCTTAGCTCACCAGCTGCTCACCATTGTTTGAAAGTGAAACAGCAGCTGACCACCACCAAGTCACCAGGGTAAAGTCACCATTCTACAATCACTAACCATCAAAAACACTCGGAAAAGCTTCATGAATACAGAGAACAACTTTCTGAATCAGACATCAAATAAAAGCACTGAACAAAGATTGTATGAAGAAAAAAAAAAAACTTTTATTCTCTGAAATACAAAAGACATTTAAAGTTAAGGCTACAAATGAATGGTTTTAATCTGTTTTGTCCCATATATATTGCACAGACTATCCAACTGTATATGTGAATAAAGTATGTCTTCGAGTAAGCCCAGGGTAAGGCACAACTGCCAATTCATAACAAAAGCACCATCTTTTAATCGCGTTTTTGCAAAAAAAAAAAAAAAAGTGTACACGTGAAATTTGTGCCAGCGTGCGTGTCATTCACTGGGAAGCTCACAGATGGCTGAAGGTCACACTGGAAGCTTTCTTTCATCACAGCATGTGGCACACAGACTCCTCCATCCCCTCTTCACAGTTCATTGCAAAATACATGCAGTTATATGCAACAAAAATGCACCTTTCATATAAATAAGTCCACAACTTATGTCTTGTTCCATCAGCCAGTTGTTTTTAGTAACAAACCACATCCTTGGTTTTTCAACGTGTCAATTTTCGACAATGAAAGATGAATAAACTTGGCATGGTGTACTACTAAAGATCTTTCTAAAACAAATCTGATACATTATCACAATCCTCCAGTACTTCTTTATCGTTGCATTTGCTTCGTTTGGTGCCGTTTTCCATTAACCAGAGGAGGTTTATGGATGTTTCCAGTAAAGCGGCCTGCATGTGTGCCGAACATCACAAAACAACCATGAGGGAAACGGGGGCTACTCCAGACGTGTAGCACTTAAGGAAAGGCAGAGCAGCAATAGTTGGTGCCAACAGAAGCAGCGGATTTGCTCTCATGCAGATGCATTTCCACATTCTGTACGGTCCTAAAATCAGAAAAATGAGCCAAGCTTTCGAATAACGGACCAGGCAACTGGCTGCCTTTTAATAATGTAGCTGGACCCCACATTATTTAAAAAAATAATAATAATAATAATAATAATAGGTAACATAAGTGAACGATAGGGTTCGACAGAATCAGATACAAGAGAAAACTGAGGTGACAATGTCAAGAGACTGACAGAAAAACTTTTTTGGCGCAAACCAAAGTCACGTGACACTGAGGTACACGTTGTACAGAAAAAGACCGCAAGCGACTGAAGTGACCAGAATGTACTGGACACAGTATAAAATGGCTCAATTTCATTTTCAGAAGCACCACTAAGGAGCATGAATATCCAAACCTGGCACTGAGAAAACCACGGATTTTTTTAAAGTGCATATGAAAACGACACAGAAGCTCATGGGTTGCTCCTGTGATTGCGAGGAAAGAACATTTTTGCCAGTGAAGTGGGAGGTAAATATCTGAGGAATCCATCCAAAAGAGACAAAAACACTACATTCTAATCTGTGGCACATTTGTGATATTACTGAATTATTTTGCCATTCTGTCACACTCTAGTGTTGGAGGCAGAGCACAGCTTCATCCTGGTAACCCTCCCACCCTCACAGAAAAAGGAAAAAAAAAAAACCCCCACACACCTTTCAGCATCTACTTTACAAAATTCACACCCTTCACACTTCAGTTAGAACATTTCCAGAATGCGGTTTTACAGTGTCAAAAATAGTCCCTTTCCTGTCAAATAACCTTAAAAAAAAGTAAATTGTGATAAAATGTTCCAGAGCACCTGTAAACACACCAAACGCACCACCCATTTCAGCTGTGGGATGGGGGGGGCAGAGTTTGTCCGTTTCTCACCAAAAGCGGGAGATATCAATCCCGTTGGTCCAGCCAGTTCTGACCCCATGAGACAGAGCTGAAAAGTCTGGGGGAAAAGGTGCAAGAAGTAAAGGGAAAAGTTGGGCCTAGTTGACAGCCTCCTGCACAGGAAGGAGGGTGTGAGTGGAGCCCCACGCACAAGCCATGGAGCCGGCCGGGGCCGGCGGCCGGGGCTCCCCGCACATCACACTCCATGCCGGAGGCTCGTAAACACCCTCCACTCCTGGAATAGCCAGCTGGGGCCCAGGGGCCGGGCTCTCGCTCTGCTTCCCCAGTGAGCTACCAGTTCCTTCGGCAGTGGTGGCAGCGGTGATGGGGCCCGTACTGGCGGCCCCTTCTCTCTGCTGAAGCTCGAGCTCTGCTGCTCTTTGAAGAGCGGCGTCCACCAACAAGCGGAGGTCACTGAAGTCCTGTGGGCGGGGCTCGGGCGGCGTGGGTGGTGGGGTGTTGAAGAGCCCACCCCCCAACACCGGGCTCACCCGGGCCTCCACAGAAGTGCCGCCAGTCAGGTGTCCCTGCGTGTCCGATTGCACTGGTGCAGTGAGACTGGCCCCCGCTAAGATGGCCGCGGCCGTACTGCCCAGCAGGCCGAGGTCCAGTGCAGGGGCCGGTCGGATCACGGAGGGCCGCAGCAGGGGGAGCGAAGGGGGTGTCTCTTCTGGGGACTGGGGCACCACGGACGCTCTCGCTTCGGCCTTCCCCGTCCGTCTGGAGATGGTGAACTGGTTGGGATCTTTACCATCCTTTCGCAGCATGTCCGGGAGCAACCGCCTCCTGGCATTTATAAACCAGTTACAGATCTGAAGATGGAGATTAAATTATTAGATATGGGGGAGACCCAGTTCCGGACAAAACATTCATCGCTCATTCTTTGATGTTTCCATTTCGAAACCAAATCAGGGAGAAACAAAATCAGCAGCATTTGTTGGTTCCTTTTTTAAAATCAGAACTGGAGAAGAAAAAACGGGAAAAAAACTCCGGCTTCATAACTTGGATTTCTGTATTAAAACCAAATGGGACTAAAAATCGGTTCATTTCGGTTTTTGTGACATTCACAGTAAATTCAGGGGATGCCGGACAATATAGCATAAAACAAATACTGTGCCAGTCAAAAGTTTGGAGAAACCTACTCATAGATAAGTTTATTTGTGCTATTCTCTACATTTTATGATAATTGTAAAGACAACACAACTATAAAATAACATAACCTGCTGGAAAAAAAACAGCTGAGACCAGAATAATGCATGTGATTACACAGCATCTCTTCTGTTTTGGTGCTGGTGGTCCAGCATCATTAAGGGAACATTGCTGGTGGACGAGCTTCACATGCAGGTAGACCAGCGCAGTCATGCTGGTCCACCAGCCACACTGGCACCAAACCAGCACCAAGCTATGCTGCTCAATCTGCTGGCCAGACTTCATAATGAAATATAAACATGTTGCGGCTCTTATGAATAAAATATAAATAAGCCAGTAACCCCGATTCGTAGTGCAGGCCCCTCGTCAGTGCCACTCTGTTGCTGGTCTATGCTGGTTAGTGCTGGTGTAGCAGGGGGACCAATATGGCTGCGCTGGTCTACCTGCATGTGAAGCTCGTCCACCAGCAATGTTTCCTTAATGATGCTGGACCACCAACACCAAAACACAGGATGCTGGTAACTATGCTTGTCTATGCTGTTTTTTCAGCAGGGATATTTCATTTTATAGTCTTGATGTCTTTATAATTATCCTACAATGTAGAGGACAGCGCAAATAAAGCTTTCTATGGGTAGGTGTTCCCATACTTTTGGCTGGCACTGTATAATATTAAAATAATGTTTTTTGTGTTCTTGTCTGGCGTCCCCTGGATTTCCTGTGAATATCACAAAAACAAAACAAAAAATGATTTTATAGTTTGTGTTTGGTTTTAAAACAGAAAAACAAAACATGACATTTTTTCCCCCCTTTTCCTGTTTTTCTTTTTCCCGTTCTGATTTTAAAATGGGGGAAAAAAAAGATGCTGCCGTTCATTTCAAGATAAAACATACTAACACTGTTGCAAGAAGTGAACAAACCAGGTGCAAGGAAAAAGAATAGTGTGTGTGTGTGTGTGTGTGTGTGTGAAAAAAGTGTGTGTCAATGTCTAGGAGGGGGCAATCATCTTTAGGAACTTAGATCAAGATGGGAGGTCTTTAGAAACGTTTCAGCTTGAATAACATGACCCTAATCAGACCAAAAGACTGGTTAGTTTTTAACTCTGGTTCTTCTGCTACCCAAGTGTCACATTACACAATGTATAGGTGGTGTCTTTTTACCCCCCACCCCCGAGAAGAAATACACATGGCAGCAATTTTGTTTTGAGTACGACACACACACACACACACACACACACACACACACACACACACACACACACACACTTCCTTTGCTATTGCTAGACCACAATCACAGCAAGTGTCTTGGCATCTCAGGCCACTAACAGCTATGCAGGACGCTGGCTGATGCTTACAGCTCAGCAGCGAAGAACTTTTAAACTCCTTCAGTTCTCTGAACCATGGGCCTGGTTTTAGGTCCAAATACCATTAATCAAACTCCACCTGGGAGGCATCCTATCAATTTCTGATCAAGATAAGTCGCCAATATAAGAGCACGGCCAAAGCCATGGCTGGAAATAGATCCGACTTAGAATTCGTTGTGGGTTTGACCCCTGACATACATTTTGATTGAAATATAAAATTGACCACAGACACGGCATTTAAAACACAGCCTACATTGTTCTCCATTTCGCAATCAAAACATTTCGCCATGGATACGTTTGTCTGTATGGACAGGCTGATAATTCTTGCTCCAACTGAAAAACTGAAACAGAAGTACCCATGATTAAAATGTGACAAATTCAATCAAACTATACTATATTTAGCCTCAAAGTTTGAGCTGCTAAAATTAGATTGACCCAGTGGGGAACAAAGAAATAGGGGGGAAAAAAAGAAAAAAACACTGGATATTTACTTAAGTAATCCAATATATATATAGGTGAAAAATGTCATTTTTGTTGTGGATATTTCATAAAAACAAAACACTGGCATTGGCTTCCATGATGTTGTGAAAACACAAGAGTTCCTTTTACAAACAAGACTCCCTGCTTTGAAATCAAATGAGCAGCAGAAGAGAGAGCGGTACAGAGAGAGTCCAGAGCAGAGCGGCACCCAGGGCTGACCCAAGCTGCGTACCTGTAGCACCGAGAGGCTCGTCTGCCCGGACAGGCTGAGCTTCTCCTGCTCAGACGGGTAGGCGTTGAAGCGGTGTTCGTACAGCCAGCTTCGCAGCACCTGCACGGCCTCCTTCGGGAGGTTGCCCCGACGCCTGCGTTTCGCAGATCGATGCGACAGGTCCAGGGGGGAGCTGCAGCTGCCGGTGTCGTCCTCGCAGGTGTCGCTGTCTGACACCACGGAGGAGTCAGCGTCGTCCAGGGCTGAAACACACACTGATCAGCAACACCTTCCCACCACTGAACTCCATAAATTCATTATGGAATTTATCAAGAGATACTTTACAAATATTTTGGAGGGGGGGGGGGGCAGGATGGTGACAATTGCATTTACAAGCATAAAAGAAAAAAAAAACTAACTATCACATGGCATATCAACCCCGCCCCCCAAAAAAAAACTAATAAAACCCTCAGCTCCCGAAATATGGCTTTTGGGGGAAAAAAATTGAGGCAGAAATAGCAGCAAATGTAGCATCTTGCATCATTCGCCTTTGGGTGTCCAAGCCACTTAAAATCGTCATGAAAACCCAATGGCAGCCTTTACGACCCCGGCGATATACTGTTACACCTTTTACTTTCTTGCGAACAATGGTAACTGGAAAAGGCCTCCAACAATATAATGTCGGGATTTAATAAAACTTGCACTAGCAGTTGTACAAATAGCCATACATACCCAAGGCCAAAACGGAACCTTATAAAAAATGTGCTGTTCTGCTGAGATAAACCGCCAGTGGGCGGCTGATATGAAGGCATTTAAACGTGCACGCCAAGCCATGACTGCACGAGCTCGCGGTTCATTGTACAGATGGGACTGTGACCCCCCCTCCCCCGTGAAATCCGAGCTGGCGATCGGGCCGGGATGAGGGATCCATCAGCGCCGCCCTGACTCGCGCACAATGCGCATCGGCGGCTCGAGGCGGCGGGGGATCCGTGCACGTTCCGCACGGCCGCGCTCGCTTCCGCTCCCCGGGCCCTCGAGGGCAGGTAAAAGCCCACGCAGGGCAATTTCTCACCCCACCCCCATAATACAGCTAATAGCGTGGATGTTTTGAGTTGGCGAGCGGAAAACAACTCAAGAAAGCGCAGATATTGACTCGACTGCGTCAAAACTGCTGGGCACTAAAAATAGCCACAGAACAACTGAATTAGCTCAACCGTCAGAAACATCAATGCAGAGTGACAGAAAATTAAAGTAACTCGTTATATAGGTTAACGACAATGGGGAGGGAAAAACTGCCTGGGAAAATAGTGCAATTCCTTTAAAACGAAGATAATATACCTTAGGGGGGCAACCCCCTTCCCAGTTCAGACTCCAATATGAGTACCGTAAAAATGCATCACTAGTTGCCCACAGAGCACACACAGCTTTATTACAAAAATATCTATTTAAAAACCGTGTCGAAATGATGCTCATAGAAAACTGCGCACCTCAACCTCGAAAAATAGTGAAAACAAAAACAACTCGTGTTACCAATAAGTAATACGGGCAACTTCTGTTAAAAAAAATGACACAAAACAACGAACATTTAACAGGTGGACGCGTCCCATTTCGGAAAAATATCTGGCTGGCTTTATGTGGAGACGAAAAAAAAGTTTAAGCAGAAGCCACTTGGACTCCATAGTTTGTTGGGGGTAGATCGGGTGGAATTCTAACCCCCCCTCCGGACGATCAGCGTCAGTGGTCTCGCTGTTTCAAGGCTAAAGCTATACAAAGGAAATCAGTGCAACTAGCAGGAATTTATTACATGAACGATAAAGCAGAGAACCAAATGTGCAATTCCTACACCGCTACTTCAGCCCCCACCCCGAAAACTCCTCGGCCGCTCCGCCAGATGGACACCATGCTTGCTTCCCAAATAACTGTCCCTCCAAATTCAAACACAAACACACGCTGCATTTGCTCGCCACAAAAAGCCGCATTCCTGTTAAACCCAATAGTGGGCCGTTAAGTTCACGGAGATCGCGATTTAACGTGCGAACACCGGGCATCGCGAATGCATTGAAAGAAATAAACCCACCTTTCTTGAAACGTTTCATTCTTTGTGATGGCCGAAGGGTTGTTTGCTAGCTGGCTGAATGTTTGAAGTTTCTTGCACAAAATTCGTGCTCCTCAGACCGGATGGTTCCTTAAGCTCACAGGGTATCCCACGCGACGTTTTCGCTATTTTCAAGTCCCAAATTATCTTTCCTTTAAATTTGTTTTGAGGAGAACGCCCTTTTCTACCAACTTGTAAAAACAAAACCACGCTTTGTCAATCACGGCAAGCCTTTTCCACCATCAGATCACTACCTGCAGGCTGCAGCACCATCTCTTGCCTCAGTTTACCAATCTGACAGCCAGGCCAGGGCCAGACAAACCCCTCCCCCACTGCCTGCGCGGGCCAATCACAGCATCGCATGCTTCTCCACAACCCGTGCTGCTATCGAGTGACAGACAATCAAATCACTTAATTTATACGCCAGGAAGTGCCAGATTCACTGGAGCCGAGGCAGTGCAGTTAGTTTAGGTGACTCATGGACTGTGCACAGTGAAGATGTGATGTCTGATGTGATGGTGGCAGTGGCAGTTACAGATCTCTAATAGAGTAGTGCAGAGTTCAAGTAGTTAAGGATCTGTCTCTCTGTCTGGAAAGTTATGGTTTAAAGTCCTGTAACTGGCAGACTGTTTATATGTGTTGAGCCCTTAACTCCAGCTGCTCCAGGAGTTGATTAATCTGCATGTATGTATATATTTGTGACTTTCTTTGAAAGCAAGATGGGATAAGTGAACAATGCCAAATTTCCACATAGGAATGGAAAAAGTACTCCTGCTTGCTATATATAACATGCATTCACTGAGCACCCTATTAGGAACACCTGTAGAGATGCCTATTCATGTAATTATATAATTAGCTAATCATGTGGCAGCAGCGCAATGTGTAACATTAAGCAGATACGGGTCAGGAGCTTCAGTTAATGTTCATATCAAACACCTGACCTGAATGGTTTTGACTGTGGCGTGATTGTTGGTGTGAGATGGGCTGGTTTGAATATTTCTGTAACTCCTGAGGTTTTCATGCACTCTACTCTCTAGAGTTTACTCAGAATGGTGCAATATATATATACAGACGGAAGTGCCTTGTTGATGAGAGAGGTCAGAGGAGAATGGGTAGACTGGTTCAAGCTGACTGGAAAGGCTATGGCAGTGTTTCCCAACCCGGTCCTCGGATACTCCCAGACAGTCCATCTTTTTTTGATCCCTCCCAGCAGGAACAAAAATGCGGACTCTCTGACAGGGAGCTGGTAGGGAGGAAAAACGTGGACCGGCCAGGGGTCCCCGAGGACCGGGTTGGGAAACACTGGGCTATGGTACCTCAGATAACCACCCTGTACAACTGCAGTGAGCAGGAAAGCATCTCAGGATACACAACGCATCAAACCTTGAGGCGGATGGGCTACAACAGCAGAAGATGTCGGGTTCCACTCACTCCTGTCAGCCAAAAACAGAAATCAGAGGCTGCACTGGGCACAGGCTCACCAAAGTGAAACAGCTGAAAAGTGGAAAAATGCAGCCTGGTCTGGTGAAGGATCTTGTTTTCTGCTGAGGCATACAGATGGTAGAGTCAGAATCTGGTGTCAACAGCATGAATCCACAGACCCAACCTGCCTTCTGTGAACAGTTCAGGCTGGTGGTGCTGTAGTGGTGTGGAGAATGTTTTCTCAACACACTCTGGGGCCGTTCATACCAAACGCTCATAGCTTGAATGCCACAGCCCACATTGCTGCTCACCATGTCCCTTCATGACCACAATTTATGCATTTTCTAATGGCTACTTTCTAATGTCTACTTGAATGATAATCCATGATGCCACGAAGCAAAAGTCGTCTCAAACTGGTTTCACGAACATGACAATGAGTTCAGTGTTCTGCATCCAGATGCACACCTTTGGGATGTGGTAGAACGGGATATTGGCAGCACGGATGTGCAGCTGACAGATCTGCAGAAAGTGCGTGATGAAATCATATCAACGTGGACCAGAATCTCAAAGGAACGTTTCCATCATCTTATGAAATCCATGCCATGAAGAACTGAGGCTGTTGAGAGCAAAAGGAGGCCCTAGCTACCTAGTATCAGTATAGTGTTCCTAAAAAAAGTGCTCAGTGAATGTACATCGTAAGTTTATTTAGTATGAAAAGTGACAACAGTAATTTCTCCTATTCAGAGGCACCTACTTGTATTTATGAACCGTTTCTCATTTCTTCAGTTTAATCCTTAGTTGCATTTGAGCTGGAGGGTTTGGTTTTACTTTTGAGGAAAACTGATCAGCCTTGATCTGATTAGTCAAGGTATAGTAAATAAAAGCAATTCACACGGCAGTAGTGGGGGGTCTGTGGCATGCTGAATCATTTGCACGTGGCCGTGATCTCTGTCTCAGCCCTTTCAAATGTTAAGTGCTTCCATTGGACTAATTAACACTTCCCATTCTTCTCTGCCTGCAAACAATGTCTCTGGATATACCACAAATCACCTGCACTGTAAATGAATGGATCACCTTTACCATAAATTTGAATTTAGAATTAAGTGATCAGTGGTCATTGTCAACACACCACAGCAGACAGTGCGCAACAACGAAATGTGTCCTCTGCATTTGACCCATATGTGACTTTTGTGACATAGCAGGGGGCAGCTAATTCAGCGCCCGGGGAGCAGCGCTTGGGGACAGTACCCTGCTCAGGGTACCTCAGTGGTGACTTGCTGTTGGGGGAATCGAACCTGCAATCTTTCTATTACAAGTGCGCTACCCTAACCATCAAGCCACCACTGCCCACCGTCTCCAGATCAAACAACACAGTGTCTGCTGTTTGTACATGACAATAGACATTTTCAGGAAACTTTACATTCCACAAATGCATCCTGGAAAATAATGGCTAGCTAACTAAATATTGTCAAAAAGCTAAAAAGCCATTTTTTATCATGTCATTCGCTTTTCTGACACATTCACAGAAAACATCTTTAGGGGTGATACTTTATTTTTTCCCGAAACGCAGTGTAGTTAACAAAACAGAGACCGTTTATTTCACAAAGTTTATTATTTCGGAACCTAAGCCTCATAGCTTGTTATTTTCATTTTGCCCTTTGTAACTTTATAAATAATATCTAGACAGACCCTTAGAAGCAGAAGATTTTGTGTTTTATATCACAAAAACAGTTTTGCCACACAACCCCCTCAGAAGAATCTGAAAGGAAGATATTCAGCGGCATTGAATAGTGATTTCATTTTATGTGACAACATAATTTGGAGTTCTATAAACAGACCATTTAAACATCATTTGAAACTAATTCAGATATTATGAATGACATCCATAAAATTTAGTTTTGAACATATTGCCATATAATTCCATCAGCACGTCAGGTTTTTAATACACCATTCAAAAGCCCAGTAAGACCATTTAATTCAGGCCATTACATTTCAAAATATACAGAGGCCTCTGTCCTTATGAGGCTGTGGATTTTCATATATATAAAAAAGAAAAGTAAAAATTCTTAAAACAAATCAATAACAACATAAACTCTTAGGAACAACCCTGAATATATTTGGTGGATAATTGTAAATTCAAAATATTTAATTCACTTTCCAGTGAATTTTTTTTAATGTAAGTGTAAACCATCCTTTATGAAAAGGAAAATTTGATGCTCCATACATTGTTAACCAAAGTTCAACAAGCAAATAGGTTCAGTGATCTGGAACACTAAGTAAGACTGGACCAAATCTAGGGAAACTGCACAGCCTGCTGCTCTGCCTAACAGACTGATCACACTGATGTAATGTGACGTGGGCCGCACTGCATACAGCCAGTGCCTCAATGCCAGCCTTCGCAGTTCAAATAACGAAAAAGAAGGCCTAGTTTGTGAGCGGTCGGAAAATGAAATTACACGCAAGCCTGCAACATGTAGACGCACACCCTGAAAATCTTTTTTTTTTTTTAAACTCACTTTTGTCGACACAAACTGGTTAACAGCTGTGCCAGTGTCAGAATGAATAAGCACCTGTTTGCATCTAGAGAGCTGCCTGCTTGGATGACCGCGAGCTGAAATGAGGTCGAGGAACTGGACCCAAACATTTCAGTGCATGTCCAGCTGGATAAATAAATATGCAATAATAATAATAATAATAATAATAATAATAATAAATAATAATAATAATAACAAACTAATTAAAGAATGAAATCCCTCAATTGGCCAGGTTCTGTGGAGACATAGTATGTTGAAGACACACATTTATGTCAAAGCAAGATGTCACGTGATACTTAACTCTTAGAAAAGATAAGAACTCAATAGGCAGTATGCTTGGCCATCCAAGCTGTGAAGAACAGTGAAGAACAGTGAAGAACAGTGAAGAACAGTGAAGCAGTTCTTAACAGAGCTATGACACCATGCAGCAATCTTAGGGGCCAGAGGTGCCTATATACTACAATAAAAACAACGAAGCAGTGAAGCATGTTTGCAAAGACCAGGCAACTTCATTTCCCACCAACAGTTATTAGTATAAACTACTGTCCCTTCACCTTACAGGTGCTGGTCTGTAATAGGGGTTAATTGAACTAGAAGATGATAATTTGAGAAGTGAGTAACTCAGGAGACTAATAGAATCACGTCCAATTGATAATACTCATATTATAGGTCTTGACCTGCACGTCAGTGTGAAACATGGATGTTACAGCTGACTGTAGACCTCTTCATTTATAGCTGCCATTGTCCCTGAATAGCCAAGGCTTGGAAACATACAAAAAGAATTCTGGGAGCAGAATTAATTAAAGAGGAATGGATTCAAGACTCCATACACAGTCACTATAGAAAAGGACCATGTGAAAATGTGGTTGTTTTTTTTTTTTTTGATTGTCATTTGTAGACACTGCCCTAAACTTACTTTCCAGGTAACCGTGCAAAGCAGTGTTATGGTTTGGCATTGTAAGCACCCCAACAATGGGTCACATGTAGGGGGGCTGTGGCAGAGGTCCAGCTGTGCTCTCAGTTCTCACAAGACCGGGAAGCACACAAACTAAACAGGAGATGGGAGCAGGATGGCAAACATGTGGAAAGGGCCGCTGTTTCCGCACCCTTTGGCGCTCAGCAGAGTGAAGTAGGACGGTGCACAAAACCAAAGCCTGGGCATTTTGGCTGAAACAAGCCAGCTAGTGACAAAGAGGATAAGGATAAAGGCAGAGGATAAAGGTGCTGGGACCCAAAGGCTTCAAAGACACGGTGCATTATACATTCTAGCATATTTCACTAAATTCGGAGCTACATTTTTAAGCCTAAAAACTGGTTCCTATACACTATATTCCAAAAAAATTCTGATTTAGTACATGTAATAGAATTCATGGATAACCTTCAGTCAGTAAAATATGTGCTTGTTTTGAAAAATAATTTATTTTAATAAACTTAAAATAAATTTAATAAACTACTCTAAAGCAAGTGTGTTGCATCCTCACTGTATCACAGGCACAAACAAGGACAAAAAGTCACAGACAGAGAGATAGACAGACATAAACAGAATATGGAAATGGCACTTGTAGAGGTTCACCCCAGGGCTGCAATGAGAAAGTTCAGCCAATAAGCTGGAATAGAATAGTGATACTTTATTCATCCTTATGGGGAAATTGTGTTTTCGCAGCCAGTGAGCTCTCGGGTCAGCCAGTGTGCAGTGCCCCAAAGCTGGGGGGGGGGGGGGGGTCACAGCATAGGCCCAACCAATGTACAGAACCGGGGGGGGGGGGGGGGTAAGGTCCTTGCTCAAGTGCCCAACGGCAGAATCAGTCCATCGGCCCTGGGATTCAGACCAACGACCTACTGAGTGCAGCTACGGGTCCGAACCCGCTGAGCAGCACTCTCGGATGGCTCAGGTTAGCCAGCTCAAAACTGGATTGTGGTCTGGGAGGAAAACTTTTACAATCTACTGACACAGTGATTGTCAGAAGCAACCCGATCTGTTTCTGTCCTGTGAAACAAGGTTCAGGAGGGTCATCTGCATCAGAGACATGTCCACCTCTCCCAGAGCCCAGATCCCTTAGCCCTTACCAAGGACACTCTAAGGGGGCATAAAGGTCTTTGGTGGCACAAATGGGCTCATAACGCCGTCTTGCGATCTGATAGTACCAAAAAAACCTAAAAAGAAAACAAAGCAGGCTTTCATCCTGTGGACTAACCACTCGTCTGTCATGACAGATGAATCCTCAGTCAGCATCATAGATTGGAAATGCTTCTCACCAAAACCCACTGCCATTTACAGCTTCATGAATTGAGACAGCGAGAGAATGGTTTGTCTGAATAGGTTTCCAAAAATACTCGAGTCGCATACTATCAATTTCACACATCTTCAATTTAAATGTTTGTTAGGATTTCATGTGCTCTCTATTTCAGATAATGTGATATGATCATCTACGTACATATTGCAAAGAGCTTTCTCTTCCAGACCTTTCAACAGGACCTCAGCAAACCTTTACTTACAGACTGGAAGGTTGTACCAAATTTTGACTCCAGATATAGTTGTTTAGGTTCTGTGTTGCTTAGATTACCAACACCAGTAGTGTTAGGTACACTTCTTTATAACAATTATAATAAATAAGAATGATGACAAATGCACAATGAAGGACATTTAATGATTTTAAGACATAAAGGGACATTTCAGCAGTTTGGTTGGTGTATGAAATAGAGAAAAAAAAAACACACCCAAAAGTAGACAGCAGACTGCAGTGAACTATATGACTCCTTTGGAAATTTCAAACATTCACTCCTGCATTCACCTCAGATCTCAGCACGAGAGACTGCTGGCTGGGGCGGGGGCCGTCTTCATAAGTACCATGCACACAAGGAGTGGGCTAGACCAGGCATCATTGGAAAATGTGCACTTTTTGTAGAACTATGTATTGCCCTTCATTTCTAATTATTCAGAATTTATGATGTTAATGTGCAAATTTTGCAGCGGTGCAAAAGCCAAAAGCTATACATGTCAGACACGCCGCCGTTATCGTCGTCCTCGCCACACTGGCGTTTCTCCCCGTCACCGGTTCGGAATCCACCACAGTTGCCCGTTTTCCCTTTGAGTACCGAAACATGAAAATGTACAACCGAGTGACTTAAAATGATGCAAACGACAAGATCAATAGCTAAATAATCTCTTTTTGGCAATTTGTAGGGTTCATACCAGGCACGCAGCCAGGTGGAAAAACGCCCCTCCCAATTTGCTTCAGGCACCCAACTCTGCTTGGCAACTTTTACTGAGAGGGGGGGCTCCTCTGGCCGACAAAATACGGACTACTCATGGCTGCCTGACTCTCCACGAAATTTATTTCTGGCTACAGGCCTGGTTTATACTGTATTTTTGTCCCCATTCTGTTACCTAACTGATAATTTTCCTTGAAAAGCAACCCACTTTGAAGCCTCGGAGAAACCAGACCTCACATCACACACACAGACAGAATATTTCCGCTGAGGGTTTTTCAATAACTGGTGGCGATCGTGCATAAAGTCTAAAGAAAGATGGAAGAGGAAAACTTCACATCTCACATAACAATAATGGCATTTACAACCAGAGCGCCTTTAAGAACCTGCAATGTACTGCACGTGCAGCAGAACAGCGGCCACTTTAAGGAACTCCCTTGCATGGACACTGACCCCAGTGTCCCAATTATTCAGTTAAAAAGGGGAAAAAAGGGTCAGTAAGAGTGGAATTGGACAATGCCTTTTGTCAATTATGTTATGTGAACCACGAAACCAATTTTGTGAATCTAACTCCCAAGTCGCATATAATAAACATCTTAAATAATATTTAATAATGAACAGATCCATGATAAATGTTAATTAGTCGTCTGGATGATTACGACTACCCGGATTTATGGGCTAGAGGTAACAGAGTTATACTAGCAGATCAGCTCAGGTACTGCCCATTCATGTGGATGATTCTACGGAATTTTAAGTATGCATCGTGGGGGGCGGGGGGGGTTAGTTACCACCACCATCAAAACACCTGAGCACCCAGGTGACCTGTGGGACAGTATCCATAATGCTACAAGACCCATTTTATAACCCCACAGGACGTCTGCAGCGTCTTCAAACGTGTGCCTGGCAAAGATCTGGCTTCCCACGGATTCAAATGTACCGTTGGAGCAAATATTTTGGCAACGTACTGGAGTGTGTATAATGAACTTTTTCGACCCACTGCACAGAGCATTAGGATGTTAGCATTGGCCTCCCTCTTTGCCAGACCATGGAGTTCATTCGAGCAGAAAGGATTCCGCCACCCAGAACCAAATAAAAAGAAAGAAAACCAAAAGCTCTTCGTGTCATGGGGCTCTCATTTCTGGGCTCACCTGCGAAGATACTATCCTGACCCCTTCAAGAGGGTTCAGAACGCTCGTTAAATATTAAATACACAGACACACATGGACAGGTGCGGTCAGGGACCTCATATGGTGCTAAAAGTTGAGCTCTGTGGAACAATCAGGGAGAAAAGAGGAGGGGCACAATTAACAGAGTGGGGGCAGGGGGGATATTCCATACATCCTGTTTCCAGGCTCTCACTCTGGCTGCTGCTGCTTGTCCTGGGCCCATCCAGACACAAGCCCCCATTTTTGGGGGGAAAAAAGAAGCCAAACGGAAGACACCGATTGAGGCACAAAAATGTGCAATGCTCTCCCTGCCCTTGCGTGCAAAGGAGAGGGGGTGTGACTGGTGGGGGGGATGAGCGGCAAGAGGAAAGAAAAGGGGGCTGACACTGCAGTCCAGGTGCTCAAGGACGCCGGCATTAAAATATTAGAACACGCAAATTTCTGATATAGTTCTTCATTTGTAGTAATAACAACAACAAGAACAACATTTATATTTACAACGACGGTAATAAAAGTCTTGAGGTTTTCCATGGCAGCCATGAGAAAGCAGGGCCTTCTGGGACGCTCTTCGTGTTCAGGCCGTACTCCATGTGGCGCCCTGGCCTGCCCTTGTGGTTCACCCTCTGCTGGGGTTCTGTCAGAGTGGCCATAGGGGCGGTTGTGGGGGGGGGGGGGGGGGGGGGGGGGGGGGGGGGGGGGGAGTAGGGGGCGTGTTTCGTTTGTTTCTCACGCCACCCAGCGCCTCTCGCTTTCAGAGGCGTGTCTGCGCCTCGGGCACGTAAATCTCGATGCTGTCGGCACTCTCTGTGGCGGAGTTCTGTCGCACAGACGCGGCCCGCTTGGCGGCCATTAGCCGTTTGCGGGCTTCCTGCCGCTGCTTGTCCGCCGGGTCGCTGCTGCCGCCGCTGCCACCACCGCTGCCGCTGCCGATGCTCCCCTTCTCCCGGTTTGCTGCCAGCTTTGCCTTGCTGGGCTTCTTTGGCACTGGAGGGGGCTGCTTCTTATCCTCCTAAACACGCAAGGGCATCATTTTGGGGTTAGCGTGGGGGGGGGGGGTTGGAGCCTCCACCCATTTAAAGGGGTCCGGGGGGATGTATTGGCTGGTTTTGATTAATGGGAAGGTTACAACCCCCCACCCCTTCATGATTTATGCCCATGACTCCAGGGGTGCTGGGTGATGGCTGACCATGCGCTCTGACCCGCTAACTCACCTGTATATATGTCCGTCTCTCTTACGGAGAGGACAGGATATGCAAAAACTATCCAATTTCTCCATGGGGATGAATAAGCTGCCACTATTACTCTAATATTAAAAGTTGAGAGGCACGGCGGGCAAAGGTAAAAGTACCTTCTTGTCTGGCGAGTCGGAAAGCTGCCAATCGTTGGACTTGAGGTGGTAAAGCTCGTCAAACTTCATGCTGATGTCCTCAATGGAGAGCTGCAGCAGGTCCCAGAAGCCAGCCAGGTCCTGGGCAGTTGGCCGTGGGTTGGCATCCACGTTCTTCAAGGTCACAAAGCAGGAACAAGGTTATTTAAAACCAAAACAGAGAAAAAAAACACTGCTTTTGTCAACTGGATGGAATGCAAACCAATGAACCTGAAAATAATCTCCGAAATTAAAAAAATTAAAATTAAACCAGCTCATGATCAATGTAAAGGAACAGGCAGTATTTCAGCAAAGTTAATGTGCTTTAAAGACACAGACACTAGGGGGCGACATTCTACTATTCCTATAAAGAAGAAAAAACATTCTTTGCGGATTGTAGAAAGATGCAGAAAGAGCAACAATAATCAGCAGTATGAGTAAAGAGTGAGTATTTGTGGGTGGAAAAAATTTAGGAAGGGGGACCGAATTGATAGGGAGTGTCGCCCTGGGACAGCCTGCAGAGTTCAGCAAGATTCATCAGACACAGCAAGCACTGTGTTATGAACAGCAACTTCTTCCATCCTCATGTTGATTTGATTCAGAAAGTGTCACACACATCTAATTCCAAGAGTTTTGAAGATTTCAAGCTTACTGCCTCAAATGCCTCAAAATTCTTCCATTCTGATCTTTCAGGAATGTGGTAAAGATGGCCTTGTCCAATCAGGTGGGTAGAAAAAAAACCAGCACTGGATTTTTCAAGCCATGGTTTTCCTCAAGCGTGCTGTATATGCCGGTGTTTATCTCATGCTATTTGCATTGTTTAGCTTGAGTTCCACGTTAACGCTGAGGTTACAATAATGACTAGACACTGGATAGTTGGGTAAAGGTTACACAAGAAAACATGTCTAATTTTGGTTTCAATAGTTATGTGTCAGGATGGGGTTTTGCAGTGCTAATGAGTGTGAGTAACTGGTACATTCTGGCCTTGCTGAAAACACGCAAAATGGTCGCTCGCCTCAGTCATCCTCGCAGAAGCGGCGTCTATGTCGCCGTGTGGGGAAAGCAGACAGTTACTCACCAAGTTCTGGTCGCAGAGTCCTCGAAACTGCTGGAACTTCTGGGACATGAGAAGCTGGGCACTACCTATGGCACTGCGTACCCTCCCCAGCACTGCGGGCACAGAGAAACGGCAGATTAAGGACTGACCTGCAACCACGGAAAGCGTTTTTAGCAGAGCTCTTGGAGGAATGCCAACAAAAATCACCAGTGGAATCTGCGAGACAACACAGTCCTGCCCCTCACTGCAGCTGTCTCACGTAGGGCTGTGTCATGTGGGCGAGTGTCCAGGAAAGCAGCTGCCCCCCCACATTTCCCCTCCCAGCAGCTTGCTGGCACAGTCTGGGTGACCCATCCTGGGGTCCGAACAGATCCAGAGTCTGAGACCATTAACATGGAACAGCTGACGAAGATGGTGCTATAAGCAGATTGAAAAGTATTTAAAGGTTCTACCATTTTGAGAAAACACTAATGCAATCAGCCTTGATAAGACATTCTTGGGATCACGGCATAAAGATCAGCCCCAGCTCAGTATGAAGCTGTGCGACACACTGCGTAATACAGCAGGGTGAATGTCACAGCAGTCCCCTCCCCCCACAGCACGCTCCAACTTAGCATGCCCGCTGTACTCGCCAATGCACTCCCAACTGGCTGATTAGGAGCAGCGGCAGTTTCTTTAAGACAGTGATTCTCAAAGTGTGGGGCGCGCCCCGTGGCAGGTGGGGCACAAGAGACCTGGGGGAAAGTCGTACAGGACTGATGTTTAATATCGGAGTCATTTTCAGGGCGGAACAGAGGATTCACATCGGTACCGTTAGCAACCTGCTCGTTCACTGCTATCGGAGCCTTAAAAGGTCAAAAAAGACAGATATTTAACAGGTAGGAAAAGAAAAACAGGTGGTGCTTCTGAGACACATGAAGCAAGTGCTGAAAACTGGCAAAAAAAAGGCCAAAAAGGAAATATGATGAAGCATATCTCACTCTGGGTCTCACTGTTGGTAGGAGATGAGGAGAAACCTGACTGTATTTTATGTTTGAAAAACTGGCAGCTGACAGCATGAAACCCAACAAATTAAACTAACAAAACACCTTGTTCACCTCTCTTCACAAGTTTCTGCATTTGTTCTTATTTATACAGACTGAATTTTTATTGCTGTATTTCCGGAAAAGTGCAAATTCTGCTTAATTAGCCTTTTTTTTTTTTTTGAAAAAGCACAGACTATTGAAGCAGTGTAGTGACAAATGTCACAGAAAGTTGTTTGAAGTGAAAGTTGTTTTTTTGCTTAACAAAAGTTACTGAAGAAATTAATGTTAATGAGTTAGATTTTATCTAAATAAAGTTACACCTCGGCTTTTCTGTTATTGTTTTGTTGAGGTGGGGTGTGCAAATATTTCTTCCTGCCAAGTGGGGAATGATAGAAATAGTTTGAGAACTACTGCTTTAAGACAAAGCAGAGGTTCACCAAAAAAAAGACATTTAAAAAATGCTACATTCATATCACATAAAACATCATATTAGAGGCCTTATTATGCTTTTCTGATTTTTTCCCCCATTCCTTCAGTGTGTTATATAGCTTTATGTGCATATAAGTGGTCTGCAAAATCTTAAGGGTCAAAGTACAAGCCAAAGGGAGTAACTCTCACCACAGAAACAACTCTTCTCTGATCTGTCTGAAACACCTCGTTGAAATTCCAGTCTTTACTTCCCTACCATGGTGAGGTCGCCTCCTAACACAACCCATGTTGGCTGCCTACCAGCAAGGATCCGTCTACAGACTGTAAAACAGGGGTGGGGCATATAAGGCAAGCTGACCAACCAGGAATGCCGACTAATCAGAGCCCACTGGGCTCATCAGGGGTACAGCTAAAAACTCCAACAAAGCTTTTCAGACAGATGGTGAAGAGATGTACAGTATGAGAAAAGTAGTGTGTTTTTGGAACACTGAAGCACGTAAATCTATTCTAGACTCCAAACATAAAATTATGAACAGTGAAAATGAGCATAATAGGTCCCCTTTAATACCAATATATAATCCCAATGACCATTTCCTGTTCAGAAAGTACCGTGCAAAACAGCACCACCTCTAGGTTGATAAACAGAACTTTAGTGAAGAAAAACATTTTCTGCCTCACTAAGCTCATAGATTTCAATGTGTTTCTCATCACCATCTATCTAGTAGCTGATTGGACAGCTTTGGAATGTGACACGGTTTTAAGCGTACCCAGTGAAGCATGCCTCACCTAGCCTTTCTAATGATGCTTTATAATGCTCATCCCAGCCCAAAGATGGACATGTTTACCCATTCAGAACATGTGTTCAGCCATCAGGCAAGATTGTTTTGTGGACAAGGAATTGGCATAATAATATAAGTGAAAAAGGCAAGTGGTTGAAATACTTTAAATATTGTTCTTTTTTTTTAAATTATTATTATTACTGTATCAAAGGAACATGTCATGACAGTCATATAATTAAGCCTTTTTGGAAATGGATTAGAGTTTGCACCTGTGCCGTACTGTATACAAGATTAAATAAAATGCTTAATGTTGTGAATCAATACAGGCTGCAGTTTGTGTATTTTTGGATAGCAGAATAGGACACCCCCCCCACAAATTTTACTGTCATGAACCTGAGCAGGTGAGGGAGGGCCGATCTCCTTCATTTATTCAGATGAAAAGAGGCAACGCTAGTGAGAATTGGCAGCTTGATCAACGAATGTGAGCATGTACAGTCAGCCAAACACAATGACACAGAAAGGGAAACCCGTGAGATTCTGAAAAGGCTGAGATCCCGTTAATTAAACTGCATCAGTCACTTAAGGGACACATTGGGAGTGAAAATGCTGAAGTAACCGGGAGTTCTCAGGCGTGCTTTCCTGCTGTGATGATGCTCTGCCTTTCATTGGTGTGTGTGTTGTACGTGTAGCATAAAACAGTAATGTAAAGCCATATAACCTACTCATATTCAGTCTAAAGTTTGTTTCAGTAAAAGTTTTGTTCAGCGGCTGTTGCGTCTAGGAAGAATCAGTAGTGGGGGTGGGGGGGGGATCAGAAGGCTGCAGAGACCTTTATCTCTGATCAAATGTGATCAGGCTATGACTGGCAGAGACCTTCTGATTTGATATTTCAACATTTGTTTGGCAATTCGATATGCATTGTGAAATTACGTACAGTATTGTGATTACGAAAGTGACATTGCTCTTTTTCTTCTTTTTTTTTTTACATTTTGCTGACGAGAAGTCAGTCTCGGTTAAAAAAAAAAAAGTTTGTTGCTTTCAACATAATTTCTCTTGAGCATTTGAGATCTAATTAATAATAATTTATACTTTTAAAAGATCCCCATGGGGAAATTCTCTTTACGCCTCCACCAGCTTGCTCTCCGTAGGTGAGAGTAAGCTGGCCACGAAGGGCAGCCAACCATTGGCGTGCGGGGGGGGGCTGGGGGTTAAGGGCCTCGCTCAAGGGCCCACGGACATACCAAGGCTGGGCTTGAACTGCACCCACGTCTACATTTAAAGTAAATATCTTCTTACTTTAAAGACCCTTATTAAGCAGTACTCAACAAATAAAAGATCAACAAAACCGTTTAATACAAACTCCAGTACTTACAGCATTAAGAGCTTTTTAGCAGTTAAGGGATCAGAACTAAAAATGTGGCAAGCAGAACAGCAATACTTTACTAACCCCTGGGGGGGGGGTTAGTAAAGTATTGTTAAGTATAGTATCCCTTTTTGCCTCCCCCATCTTGCTCTCCATGAGACACACAGACACAAATACAGGTGAGAGCAAGCTTGGGGGTCACAGCACAGGGTCAGCCAGCGTGGAGCTCCCCCGGAGCTGGGGGTTAAAGGCCTTACTCAAGGGCGCGCCGGCACGCGACTATTCGGCTGCGGCTGGGGCTTGAACCAGTGACCTTCTGATCACAGGGACAGAGGCTTAGCCCGCTGAGACAGACACGCCCCTAAATGACATGCACACCCAAAATTCCACTTTTACAGTATGCATTATGTATGCTACTGTGAACAAGAAGGGGACAAAAATGAAAATCGGAACTGACAACTTGAAGAAATCTACAGCAAAGTGGAATTCTCAACAGAATATCTTGTAAACAAGTACCACCACATTACACTACTGTTGGGGAGCACTGGGTTTTTATGCAAAAACAGCAGACGGTCAGGTTAACATGCTCGGGGGTGAGGATGTTTCTTGGACAAGACAGCTGCAGGTTTGTGGTCGTCCGACTCGGGGCGGTGCCAGGAAAGATGCACACGAATGTTACTGCTGCTATGTATCTGTGCTTCATGTGCTGTGGGGAGGGCACCAAGTTCCAGAAGGGGCACGAAAATAGCATAATGATCACCATCATAATCACCATTACGAATGATTTAAATTTAACATGGAGCAATAGGAACCATTAAACCATTATACAAGATATACATAAATGCTCAAAATAATAAAAATGAATCATGAAGCCCCCAGTCTCCTTGCGGTTGGCTTGACTGCATGGTGGTGCAGTAGTTAGCACTATTGCCTTACATGTGTGGGACCCAGGTTCCGTGTGTGTGGTGTTCGCATGTTCTCCTCATGTCGTCGTGGGTTTTCCTCTGGGTACTCTGGTTTCCCTCCACAGTTAATTGGAGTTACTGAATTGCCTGTAAGTGTGCATGTGTGTGTGTGTGTGTCTGTGTGTGTGTGTGTGTGTGTGAAGGCATGGTGTGTGATTGTGCCCTGTGATGGGTTGGTGCCCCACCCTGGGTTATTCCCTGCCTTGTGCCCATAGGCGTCGGACCCAGCGTGACCCTAAATAGGACAAGGGGTCACAGAAGGTGAACGGATGGATTTAAACTCTCGGGGTGCTCAAAAAATTTCCACCAAAAAGAATCCCAATTTGTAACTGAATTGATTCTCCCCCGACTTCTGATAATCAGAGTGACGAAGCTGTTGGTTGGGGGGGGATGGGGGGGTTACTGACATTTGTCGCACTGAATTCTATCTGAATAACTGCATTCAGATTCCCATTCAGCTTTCAATTAGTGTATTTCTTATAAAAAAAAACAAGTTTAACCTTGTTTTTACAGCCCAAACTCATCCAGCATTTACTACTAATCAAGTAGCATCAAAAAACCTAAATCACACAGTGTGAGTGTATGTGTATGTATATATGTGTGTGTGTATTATTATAATGTTACTGTCCAGTAATTAAATCAACCAACTAGGAGTCCAGCGACCCCACAGCCGCGACTCAGTGCTCCAGAGAGTGTGCTAATAAGCATTTGGTCACAACAAAGCTTGTGACATTTACACCCATGCTTTTTTCCCACCAATTTTTCCCTCCACTGTAACCAGAAGTAATGCAGCATTTAACTGAGCAGCAGACTCAGAGCCAGAGCTTATTGATCCCAGTCTTAGGATGGACCTGCCGCAGCACTCGCATGACTCAGGTACAACGCAAGGCTAATATATATATATATATAAAAATGACCTGACTACCAACATAAACATGCATTGCAGCCCCATGGAGATGTGGTGTGACGGAGGGAGATACTGATGGTCTGGCCAAGTTCTTTAAAAACAGGCCCTAGAAGGAAAAAAAACCCAGGAAGTCTCCGCTAATGAAACTTTTTTACTGCTTCTGAGACTCTGGCATGTCAAGGTGCCTTCCTGCTTCAGCACACTTCTTAGAGGGCTGCACTGTAACAGCCCAATCTCCTGGGGCAGCGCATGTCTCATTCCAGTGCAGCTGCAGTGGTCTGGGGCTCACCCTCCTCCGACAGCTGGTGGTCTTTGGTCTCCTGCTCCATCTGCTGGCACCAGCCCTCCATCCGTGCCGTCTCGGCCTGGAGCAGCTTGAGGAACCAGTGGCCGTCTCTCCGGCAGGTGGGCGCGCCGACCGGGGGGGTCTCGCCGGTGGGGACGCTACCGCCATTGCTGGTCACGCTTTCCAGCCAGGGGTCCGGTGGGGGCAACGAAGACGGGTCCAGCGCTGGGTCCAGGCTCTCAGAAGAGGAGGAGGACGACGAGGACGGGACAGAGGAGCTGACCTGGCATCCGGTGCCGCCCTCACTGTTGCCCTGGGTGTTGGGCGCCGGCTCACTCTCTGGCTGCGTGGCGCTGTCAGCCACTCCCTTATCTGCTGGCTTGGGATCATCCTGGATGTCAGAGTCCGCTTCCGGCTTGGATGCCATGCTGCTGGAGCGGTTGAGCCTGGACACACACAGGGTTCACAGACTATGGTTACGGCTATATAACCACTTTACACCCGGGATCCCCAGCAGTGGCCCAACCATCAGAACGGAAACCAAAGAGGGCAGCAGTCACCGATGTCTCAAGGACCAGGTCTGACAACTCTAAGCTAAACCAAGGCCGTTCATCAGCCACGAAAATGAAAACATTTACAATGAAAGCACATCATTATGGGATAAAACACAGATAGCATGGCAGTTAAGCATGCAGACTGAAGGCTGCCAGCTTGAGTAGAGGAAGAACACAAAACCAAGGTGCACAGCCGTAAGAGCTCCAACATCCTAATCAGCTGTGCAGATGGGTGGCATTTGTGAAAACATAACCATGGGCTGATGTCTGTAGCCTGGGGCCCCCGGACGTCATTCCCCTTGGGGGTGTGCGATGAGGAAAATAAAAACAACAGCTTCAGCGGCCCCTGATTGGACTGTGAGTCACAAAGGTGCACAAACAGTTTGAGTAAATTTTCGAACCCTGTAGTGGCAAGGGGGAGTTTACCCACAGGAGGTTCTGCGTTATTTGCTCTTTTATGTGGAGCCTAATTTAAATCTGTCTCAGGGGGTGTATATTTTATACATACATGCTAAAAGCAGAAGGTAGGCGTTGTGGGTAAAAAAAAACAAATAAAACATCCAGGAAGGCCAGAGCCGGAGAGTGGGTGAGGAATTCAGAACCCGTGAAAAGTGAGGACCCACCCCTCCTCTGCACTTACTGCCAGCTGTCTTCCACCTGGACACCGATGGACTGGAATCTGGTCAGGGGTGGCGTTTCCTCTTTCTGGACCGGCAGAAGGCAGTCCACCTAGACATCAATCACATTATTGGGAAAAACGAAGCCAGTTCTCCATAACGATTTACTCTTGGTGAGGACCACAGCTTACTAATAATAAAACAAACACAAGAGAAATTCATCTGCATCGCTGTGAATGACAATCCCGTTACATTTCAATGTAGGACCAAGAACTTAGCTCTCTGCTCTGAGCCCCGCAGGGACGCTCACCTGGATCCCGATGGATGAGAGCTTCCTTTTGGGTCCGAGCTCAGCTTGGGGCTCCTTGGGGGTCAGGGTGTCCGGGGGGCTCTGCGCCGTGTCATGCTGCGACTCCTTGGGGGGGCTGCTGGGGGTTGGGGGCTCCTGTTGGGTGGTGCAGGGTGAAGGCTGGGTGGCATAGACCCGCTCCGGGCCGTCGGGAGGGTAACTGGGCACAGGCCGGCTGGCGGCGGGGGGAGCCTCAGTCCTGCGCTCCTGGTTCTCCAGGTACGTGTCGTGGGCTGACTCTGTGCTGCTCTGCACCGTGACGGAGATGAAGGGCTTGGCGGCAATGCGAGGCGGCACAGGGGGCGGAGTCCTCTTACAGGTGGTTATACACGTGGAGGCTGCAGGGGATGGCAAACAGGCGATCTTAGAAGCTGCAGCTGGAGGACGCACTCACACACACAGTGTCCCTGAATGACAGACACAGGCATTCCTACGCAGACAGCCGTCCCATTAAAGTCGTCTCGCTTTAAGTAGCCCCACCCATTTTCATTACTCGCAACATAAATAAGCACAGGGCACGACTGACAAGTGTGGGCCTGCCCTGCCCTTCCCAGGAAGCACTGATGATGCACTGGGGTAACTTCCTCTGTGAGCCTCACTAAAGGGAAACCAACGAATAGGCTGAAGTCATAAAGCAGCAGCTCTAAAAGGAGATTCCACAATGAAACCAAACAGGTGCCAGCAGTGGCAGAGCATATAAGCTCAATCAACGTGGGTTCACATGTATACATTTGAACATAAGAAATTTACAAACGAGAGGAGGCCATTCGGCCCATCAAGCTTGTTTGGGGAGAACTTAACTAATAGCTCACAGTTGTTAAAATCCTACCTAGCTCTGATTTGAAGGAACCCAGGGTTTTAGCTTGCGCTACACTAACAGGAAGACTATTCCATAACTAAAGAAGTGCTTTCTCAAATTCATTTTAAAATGTATTGTCTAGTATTTAAACTTGTATAGAAATAGCTATTTGGCTGAACAGCATCTAGACTGGTCAGAATCTTATATACCTGGATCATGTCCCCCCTTAGTCTCCTTTGCTCGAAGCTAAAAGAGAATATCTAGAGTATGTGTTTTTCAGGTACTTCACAACTCATTCCCATACACCATATACATCCATCACGAAGACACCAGGATTTTAAAAGCTAGGCATCTTCATCATTTGCGGTTCTTCCACTGGCTTCCCAGCTGTAGAAGATCTATGACCACATGCGTAGCTGGGTTTCCAGATGCAGATGAGCGCCATCTAGAGCCAAAACGGGACCAAGGAACGTTGGGCCGTGAAGCCTGTGACCATTTACAACGTTTATAAAAATTTCCCATGCCTGCCCTGGAATCACTTTCACACATTATAATACACAGAGTCATTTGATAACAATGGTATTTATTGATGCTGTTAAGGCTTTAAATGCAGCTTTTCTTTCTGTACCGAAGACACCCAGAAAACCGAAGTATGCGGCCACCTTAATAGATGTTCATTAGTATCAAATGCAATCAACATCATTTTAGCAATACGGCCTGTAGGGTCCCTGAGGTGAGCTTTTTGCTCACGGGAGTTTTACTTACACAAAAATGTCCTGAGGGCAGAATGAAAAATGACTGGTTTCAGGAAGATAACCAATCAGATTGCAGAGAAGGTGGGTCCAAACAACTAGAGGAGGGAGGACCAAGACATCTGATTGATGTTCATTGGTTATCACTCTGGACCAATCATCTTTTTGTTCAACCCTCAGAGTTTTTGCGTAAGTAAAACTCCCATGAGTGAACATTTTTTTATTCTGATCCCACCCACTGTCCTCAATTGGTTGACATAATGGTTGGGGTTGGTCAGCAGGACTGATTATGCAGTTACCTTGAGTGTAAATTAATATGTATTTGTATATTGATGTTGCTCGTAAATGTAACCATATAATGTTTGCCATACAATTGGTGTGTTTCATTAGAGAGTAATGACGTCATTTAAATTGTTGTCTTCCCTCTCCATGCCTCTGCTAGTATTAAACAAATAGTGGCTGTTAATAAAACTTTCATTTTAAAAGTGCTCCTTTATTAAAATGAGTAAAGCACTTGCCGCAATACAATTATTTGCGCTCTGTGTGTGGGTCTGCTGCATCTAAAACATTCTGCGCCCTCTTGGGTTGTGGAGTGACACAGAATGAACAATATAGCACTGTCGTTTTAAATATGGAACAGATTGTTCTCGCTGAAGTGTTTGTTTTGTCCGGAAGTCATTTGAAGTGTGCAGCCACCTTTAATCTAGTGTTCTGGATAAAGAAAACAAGGCTGATTACTTCACCCACAGATTCCACAGCTGGCTTCTCCGGCCGCTCAGGCTCGCGAGGGGGTGGGCGGCCCCACTGCGCCAGCTCGCACCCGGGTCCTCGGCCCTCACCCAGAGCACAAACAAAATTCCAGAGAGGAAAGTAGGCTGACCAGAGTCTGACAACCCACAAGAGTAATGCATGCATAAAGATGTAGATAAAGACAAAGCAATACAGAGGAGACAGAAGGGCTATATCGTGGAGAGGACACACAGACCAACGCCATCAATACAGAGGACACACAGACTGTTGGTTCTTGGGAAGGGGAGTCCCAGTACAGTGACATCGGCACTGGGGGAGGAAAGGAAGGGTGTCCCTGTGAAGAAAAAAGTCCAAATAACCGTGGAGTAGGTAGTGTTCTTTGGAGGGGCGGGGGGTTGGGGGTAGGGTGACAGTAGGAGAGAGGGTCCACAGGAATTTTTGGCCACATTAAATGACACCAGCCCGCTTACACAACCCCCTCACACTTTGGTCTGACAGCTGGGAAAGCAAACAGGGCTCATCCTTATGGCACATCAACCTCTCCCCCCCCCCAGTGTCACTGCACTGGGACTCCATTATTGATGCCGTTGGTCTGTGTGTCACATCAACCCCCCCTGGATTACAGCACCAGAAAATGTTTTGTTTTACCTGCTACTGATGTTAAATCCTAACAAATGCATTATAAAACTCTTCGGTTCACTTCTGAACATGACATGGAAAAAAAAAAAAACCTGATCAGACCAGACCGGGGGTCCATACAGTAGCAGTGTCTCATGCTGTGAAAAATCAGACCCTGTCCTTTGCGACCACTGCACCCCCCGGAAGTCTCCCAGCAGAGGACAAAGAGAAACATTATGCCTTGTCCACACGAAAAATTCCAGGCGTTCCTGAAACGCATAGGAGGAGAGTTCTGAGCAGCCTGTTCATGTGGAGCCTCGAGCAGCACCCACAGGTCGGCCCACTGATCCCTCCAAGCTGCTGATGCTACAGCTTCTTTTAAAAATCCACTTCAGGATTCCCTCCCCCTTTATTGCCTTCTGTCATTTATTGTAGTCTGTTGTTAATTTGTTTACTTCAAAGCCACAATTCTGCTGGAGAATCCTTGTTAAGCACATTGAGGCAACCATGTTGAGGAGGATGACATTTAAAAATGAATAAATATAAAAGCCAACAATGTATTCCCCAGAAAGCCCTGTCACCCCTCCAATCTAATCCCTCCTCCTCCCACCCCCCCAAACTCCACAATCTCCAGCTCACCAACACTCTTCCCATTTCGCCAAAGAAATGTTTATAGCATACACTTTCTGTGACTTGTCTCAGTGTGATTAGGTTCCCCAGATCTGCATTTGTCATTGTCCTCTCACGTGCCACCACCGAAGATGTTTTCCCAGCTGGAGTTCCTGAGCTGTCTCACCCGGAAACTTTTGTAGTTCCTGGTAGGGATGGGCAATACCACTGATTTTTAATTTATTTAATTTTTAAATTTGATTCAATATCACAGATATTGTTTGGCAGCACCGACACCAATCCAGATATTTTTTGTGCGCATTAAATGAGGCAAGTTGGTGGTGTTACTGCAAGTTGTGCCAGACGGAAAGCTGACAAAGCACACTTTCTGTTATTGCTCCTGGAATCCAATACATTTCCATTCAGTGGAAGGCATGGAGGAGCTAAGGCAAAGCAAAATATCCTAGATAATTATTAAAATTACTTGTCAATGATCGCAACCCAGTTGCTTATCACAGTCCTTGCGATATATGGGAGATGAAAACTGGTATCTCAGTACCATAGTAGCCTGTAGTCCAACGCCGTGGCGTACAACCTCTGTACAGGGCTACATGCATCATTGAGTGTTGACCATGATTACACTAACAGCCAAAACACTGAACCATGCACCTTCAAACAATAATAGATGGTAAAGTAATCGCTGCAGTGCACTGAAGCAGTTAGTATGGGTAGCAGTGCAGTAGCTTAAAAAAGTATTAAGAAATAAATACACAGTAACACTTTGCTAAAGTATCTATAGTGCATTACTGATACCTTCATAATGTAATACAATGATCCATATAACAATTAATAAAGCATTACAGCATCTTCTACTGACAGTCATAAGGCATTATAGTGTTGATTATAATTAGGAATGGACCAATTCACGTTTTCTCAGTTCTGATCCGATACACAGCTGCTGATACCGGTACTAATTCCGATTAAAGAGCTCTTTTTAATTTAAGATTTTAATATAATAAATATATAATAAATAGTTATACTTTATATTATCTAGCAAATAGATGAAAAAAACATATGCCAAAAAATTATATAATTATGCTACAAGAAACCTACATAATAATGAACTGTTCCACCTTGTAGCACAGCAATGTACATCTTGTTATAAGTGTTTTTGAGGCATTTTGTAGTTCCATTTGAATATCTTCCAAGCGAAGTGATGAATGCTTAAAATGCCCCACAATTTCTCTCGCAACACTGCGAGTTACACTTCGTTGCGATAGCAGTCACCCCTGTATCACAAGCTGTAGCCAGTGAAAACAGCCCAAGTTAGCGACTCCTAAATCATACATTGTTTTTTTCATATTACATGCGCGTCTCGCACAATTGCGTGCACTTTGTTTAGTGGGATTTTCCACTAAACGCTACTTCCACCTCTCAAAATTTTGTTTTTACAAAGATTGCAAATTGCTGTGCATCACGCACAGCTTCAAATGGGTGGAAAAATAAAGTTTAAGTTGACCTCTTATTCAACTGCCATGCAAAGTCTGGTGATAGGAGGGATTTCTGTTGTGTTTCAGAAGATTTGTTCAATAGAAAATGGGTTAGTTAAGATTTGCTTATTTTCAATGTACATTGTTTTCGGTACAGTTTATAGTTGGAGGAGGTATACATTTCTGGATAATTAAAGTTGTCACTATTTTGTCACTACTGTGTAATAAGGAAGAACATAAACCATATCCTTCTGCTTTTAAATCAAGCTAAACAGTGGCTTCCCATTATATGGGAGCCCTGACCAACCACAAAAACTTGA